ATATATGTGTGTGTGTGTGTGTACTTGTGTATACATACTTCGACCTATATAGAGAATGTTTTTAGCATTAAGAGATTATAATTTGTATTCAAGCACATAATTGACCGTCTAAGAATGTGATCAACGTACACTGCATAATCATAGGTCACGTGGCAATGATCGCGGGCTTCTACGAGGATGTGTCGGCCGTGACGAAAGGGTGGAAGGAAAATCCGGTGGAATTTGACAGCGTATTTAATCAAAGTCGGTGAGTTCACGAATGTATGGGTGCCGTATGGGAAATGAGTACCTCGAGTATGAGAATGCATTCCTATGGAGGTCTTTTTAAATTATGACGCTGCTATCCATTTTATCTCGTCCATGGCTGTCTGTGTAGTTCCAGCTACGAGCCCGCCTTCGTCTTCTGTTTTTTTACCATTTTTCCGCAATGTTTTTACTTATGGTTCTGCAGGTACACCTTTGGCTGGGGAAGTCCTGATATTGTGCCCATGTTTACATACGGACCGGGTCTGGACGATGGTCACGTTGCCGCGCATACCTATCCAGCTGACTTAGAAGAGTTTGGTGGTGAGGAGGATGCCTCTAAGCTAGACACATGGGTGTTTGATCGCGTGCGCGAGACTATGGAGCGCGCGGCTGTGGATCCTCAAGTGGCCGAACAGATGTATTCAGATAAAGTTGTTCTGTTCATGCATTTGCTGGGTATGTTTTGGGGAGAGATTCCGTGGTGTTATGTGGGACATCTGGGATCGGGTTCAAAGCAACCCAGAATTTGGGAATACAGCTTTATTCGGTGAAATTGTTCTGTTTATACATGGTAGAGGTTTTGTACTGGATGTACGTCGTATGGAATCATGTGTATGTATCTCAAGGTGTTGGCATAAACTTATCCCATTATGCACGATGAGTACTGATGGGACTAAATCGTACTTTTGCACGCACACTTATTCTGTCGAGTTCGTCATATACTAATTTCTGTAGATACATTCGGTCAATAGTAGACGCATCCTGCACTGCTGTGTGGCTTGTAGCAAGCTCGTGATATGTGTGCTTGTGTTGTCTTGCATTTGTTAGATCTCGTCGACTGGCCTGGCCTTTTTCAATCGGACGAAAGACTTGTGACGAGTAGTTGGTAACACAGCTTGCGGCATACACATAAACATTCTCGCACGCGATGTAGGTATTGACACCAACGGACACACCCACAGACCGTCCTCGAAAGAATATCTGGATAACATAAAGTTGGTCGACAAGGGTATAGAGAGGATCACAGAAGAGATCGAGGAGTTCTACGGACACGACGGACAGACAGCGTATGTATAGCCTCCCCCCGCGCTCGTTACAGGGTATTGGAGAAGATGGTATCCGCTTTTGAAATCCATTGGGTTTCCACTAGTGTCTAAGCGGGATGATTCTAGTAGTCATACTCTGCTAGCTGGTCTATGTACGGTGATATAATCACCTGTGTTGAAAGGTGCCTCCAACCAAGGAGACTGTGGTATCTTCGTCGGAACCACCTGTCCATAATAACTAAACAGTCAACTTCTAGTCCATGCCAGACGTGCTTTGATTACTAGACTGTATCTCTGATCATTGTCCGACGTTTGCCATATCGGCAAGCCCTTCATCTCCAACCCATCGACCTCCCATACCTCATATAGCACTCTATATCACTCACTGTATGCACGCAGATATGTCTTTACTGCGGATCACGGGATGAGCAACAGAGGGTCACACGGCGGAGGCCATCCAGACGAAACAGAAACTCCCATTGTGTGCTGGGGTGCGGGCGTGGCCAATCTCGAGAGTAGCGCTGCTAACGAGGTATGTCACTACAGTCAGAAGGATCGAGAGTTCTGGAGAGCCCCTCCACTTGGAGTGGTTGATACCGTTTGTGTGATACACCCCCTATATAGGCTTGGTTTGTTTATGATAGCTAGTAGTGTCGTGTAGAGATTCCCAACTTGGAATGGTTGATACAGTTTGTGTGAGACACCCCTATATAGGCTTGGTTTGTTTATGATAGCTAGTAGTGTCGCGGATGTGTTAGTTGTGTTAAGTCTGGGGAGCCACTGGCTATGAGGTGTTCCATTTGTACGGCATCATATACACGGATAAAAGTTTTACATGCAATCATTCCTTGTGCATCAACAAGGATGCGTCTGATTTGCTTCACTAGACGAACTCACTCAGGTATGCTACGAGCAAACGTCTATTCACGAACACAGTACTGCATACTAACGGCATAGTTTACTGTTCTATTGAACTTAGAATAACGCAACTCTTCCACTCCTTCTTGGCACCACAGATGGTGTTCGATAACCTCCTCAGCGCTTCCCGCCGAATCGACATTGAACAAGCGGATGTCGCCCCATTGATGGCTTCCCTGATCAACGTGCCTTTCCCAATGAACTCAGTAAGTGACCAATGTACTCACGATTGCGATGTTCAACTGTCTGCCTTACTACGATCTCTATATGAACTCACACATGATTGCAATGTTCAACTAGATGTATTACTCCGATCTCTATATGAATTCACACATGATTGCGTTGTTCAACTAGATGTACTACTACGATCTCTATGTGAACTCATACATGATTGCAATGTTCAACTAGATGCATTACTACGATCACGATATGAAATCGATGGTCGTCCAGCACCCCAAGTAGGCGTATGTGTAGCAATGCTCTCGCGTTAAACTCTCATCCGTTGGTGGCTATGTTCTGTATCGAACCACACGCCCAGAGAGCGGTCGTAACCGTCCTTTGTCGAATATATGCAATTGCGTTCGCTGGGGCGATTAGACATAAAAGCCCTGTGTGTACCACAAGAAGAAGTTATAGTAGGCCTTTCAGACATCGCATAGATCCCTAGGGTCAAGGCAAATAAACCGACCTGATCCACACGGTTTACTGGTCTGTATCCACGTATGCCGTGGTACTGTTGAATAGACGATCCAACCTATCATAAGGCTCATCAAGTTTTATACCTATACATACTTCAGTGCTACCCACATAAAGGCTACCGCCTATACGCCCACCTCTCAAGCTGTTATGCCTTACCATGTTATTGTACCATTTGAAATCCCGTTTTTGAACCTGCGCGTACCCCTCAAGTTGTTGTGTCGTATCATGTTGCATTCATTCGCAACAATGGTCGCTCCAGAATAGCTCTCACCCATTCAATGACGCTTGGTATTGCCTCAGGTTGGGAAGCTGCCAATCGAGTACCTGAATGTGACCCAGGAACACAAGGCGAGGTCTCTGTACGCCAACTCGCTACAGATGCTGCGGGTGGTAGAAACTGCCGCCGCTAACAGAGAATATACGTCACTGTACTTTCAGCCATTCCATGAGTATGAGTACAATTCAGACGATAGTATGTGAGTTGAAAGTGTGTGTTTGAAGACGTAATCAGATTTTTAACAGTTCCTGTGCGAGCTCGAAATTAGTAAGTAAAATAGAATACAGTTCATATATCACGCAGCTTTGCCTTTTTAGCAGTAACATGTACGGATGTGTAGATAGGAATCGAGTTTTATTCATGTCTGTGTGTACTGGATAGTCGTTCTTAAACTACTCACTTGCTTCATATTGTCGTACGTTCTCGGAGTGAGCTGGATTAGACTAAAGCCAACTGTGGCCAATACACTGATATACTATGCGTAGTCGGTTTATCTCCCATTTTGTGGGTATGAACAGAAACGGAACCATCTACAATGATAATATGTCAGCCTGTAATCGGCGCAGTATATACACCGCGCCACATTTCTCCCCTTAGAAGGGTGGCATACTCAGGCCTTTCAGAATACGTACGAGCACACAAGCCGCATTCATCATCAAACGCCACAAGGAGTCCGCAGAGGTCATTCTACGATTCGGTTCTCGTCGTAAGTTGTTCTATATGATTGCAAACTTGTTTTATACGCTTACAACCTATACTGCATACCCCACTCCATAGGCCTAGGCATGTCGGTGCCCATCAGCGCAATGGACGAATACACAACACGCATTGAACAGCTCATCGCAACAAGTCAGTATGAACTGGCGCTGCTAACAACCGACCGCTTCATCAACACACTCCGGAGTGCGTACAGGTAGTGTGTTGGTCTCAGCTTTTTTTGTCATCAACACAACTCGCCATCTACTTCAAATCCTAGCATTTCTACAAGAGAGTCTTGGGACTTTCTCTGCGTACGTAGCTTCTCGTTAACGGTCGCTTGTGGCCCCCGCTCAATTGTGCTTGCTTCTCTGTATGTACACACACAGATACTTCCAGACCTATGACCGGCCATTCCTGCAGAGCTTGATTGTCGTCTCGTACTTTGGATGGCTGTGCCTGGTGTGCATGTTCATAGTGTACCACTACACTCCCGTGTGCCTCAGTCGGCGGACTCAGAAAACAAAGCAGAAGGTGTGCGCGCTGAATGGCCTCTCTGCCCAAGCAACCTGCAGTCAATCGTTCGTACCTGCGAAACACCACCACTACTTCCTTTGTTGGTTTGACTGGCACTAGTGCTGTTTCCAGCTCCCTCGCGACCACTCATTGCACACATCTTCTGTCTCCAATACTCAGGGCACTGTAACGTACACCATGATCAACTACACAGAGTCCATTGAGGCCCGGGTGCAAACTATCGAGCGCTACTGCACCGTGCTCATGGTCATTGCGGCCGGCCTGGTGCTGTATCAACACCTCCCGTACCACTTTGTAAGCTTAGAGATTTAGTACAGATATTTCGTATTCTTATTTGCTTATTGAAGCTCGTGTCATGACCCGCTATTTTAAACTCATGGCATCCTGATACCGATCCAATTTCGTTGTTCGTGACGTCTTACAAGCCTTATTGTCAGCGCGGGAGGCTTGTTAACGCAATGCAACTGGTGGTGTCAGTCTGATTGACAAATAGTTCAAAGATAGCCCATGCACTCCCACCACAGGCAATACAACCCCTGTATCTACGCCTGGATCATACACAATATGTCCTCTGTACCCGCCTTATACTTATTTTTTGTGACAGTGCAGCAGTCGGATCAAGAAGTATGGCTCGAACCAGCTCGTTGCTTAGTATCTGATTTTTATTTTATTCTTTTGTCTTGTGTATCTGTAGATCCTGTATTCGGTTCTGCCCTTCAAGTTCTGGAGTCTTGTCATCGCGCACTACGACATCCTGGTGGATATGCGAGACTTCATGGTGCTGCAGAAAATGTGGTCCAAGGTAAGCGCATCCTCCACACCTTTAGTCTATTCCAGCCCTGCCCCAATTGTTGTCCATTCTTTCTACTAAAGGGCTGGTAGATACCGCTACAAAGCTGGTTTTCAGCGTAGCACTTTGGTTGGCAAACAAACATCTCGTCCTTTGATTTTGGGTTGCGAGTCGGGCTCGGTTTAAGTTGCAAGCAGCACTATGTCAGACTGTAGTCCACTCTATGGAACTGTCTACTCGAACTTATACACTCCGGTCTATCAAACAACGCCCCTCGTGGACATGTGTATATCTCTACCTCACAAACACCTCACATACACCTCACATTGGCTTGTCCACCCCACAGACCTTGGTGGTAGGGGTGGCTGTGCTCATAGGCCTGGAGGGTTTGGTGGCGGTGTTCTTCTACCGGTGGATGCTGTCGCCTATGCTCATAGTCGCCGGCGTAGTGTGGCCGTACTACGTCTCTGCCGATCCCACTCCAAGGTATGTTACTATTGTTGTTGTGCACGTGTAGGTGTAGTCCTTTGCCATGTCTCGTCTAGTTTGCAGGATCGTTATCTTTGACGTGTGTATTTGGAGCTCTTAGCTGGCACATTAACTGATGGCTTTGCCCCATTTGCTGCAGACAGAAGTCTCTGTTGCTTGCCTGGGCCACGATCTGTGCCGTGAATGCAATCTTCCCTCTGCTTCCCGTCGAGAAGCACAGCGAGCCCTACATCATACTCGCGATGGGTGGTGTGCTGGTGGTGGGTATTGCCGCATGGGCGAAATACACCACCCGCGCGGATATGACAGCCAAAGCCCGCACTACCTTATACGCACAGGCTGCCTTTCTGCTTGTGTCTCTGGGCATACTTGTGCACTCCTCGCACCATCTCAACAACAAGCTGAAGGTGCCCCTACTCAACCGGGCGTGGACCTGGGGTACTATCCCGTACGCGCTTCTCGTGCCTCTCAGCGTACGAAACGAACGGTGCATGGCAACGAAGATCGTCACGGTATGCGCGGGTTTTGCCGCCCCATTCTTCATGCTGAGTATAAGCTATGAGACCGCCTTCTACGCGTGCATGTGCATCACCATGTTGCTGTGGCTGTCTATAGAGGAGACAAGCGCTAGTGCTGACTCAGATTCTAGTAGCGCTGCATCACACACCGGCATGAGTGAACCGGATACCAAATCCGGGTCCAAGTCGAGCGTGCACCGCAATAGATCGGGACAAGACGAACAGTTTGTCAGCCTTGGGGACCTCCATGTGGCCTTTTTTTACTTGTACTTCCTACTGTACGCGTTCTTTGGCATGGGCAACATTGCCAGTATCAGTTCGTTCGATCCGTCCTCGTGCTACCGGTTTATGACGCTCTTCTCCCCGTTTGTGATGGGAGCGCTGATGATTGGCAAGGTATGCGAGAACTAGAACTCAATGAACACACTGATGGATGGCGATCAAGTCATTTTTTTTTTTACTGCCCTTGCACTCTGAATATGGGCAAGAAGTGACTGTAATGCGTGACTGTGTGGATACATTTTATGTACATATATATCATATGTGTTTTTACGCACAAATATATATATATAATCTATCTATCTATC